ATGGTTTGGCCATGATAAAGCTTTGGTAAATACCTGAGACTACTCAGGTTCATGTAGCAACTTCAAAGGGCACTTTGATGAACCTTTGCATATCCTCATGTGTACCATGCAATCACATTAGCCAGTAATACTAAAGTAATATTCTACCTGAGGAAATTCAACTGAATTCACAGTACAAAGTGCCACTTCGCACCATGCTATGTGAACCTATCCCTTGTTTATATATTAATTTTCTTCTGTTTTTCTCTAAAAATATTCCAACAATTTTCCACAGTTGTCAAGGTCCCAAAAGATATAAAAAAGAAGTATGAAATCTGCTTATAGCCCCACAACTATGGGTTACCAATCCCTGCCCCTTGCTTGCCTTCCATCCCTTAATCACACTGCTGTTTCCACCCCAAAAATTAAGTCACTGATGTCTGATATCAAACCATGAGTGGGGAATGGCTGTGGAAATGGACCTATCTCCCATTCTGTATTATTTATTTCTTTATTTTATTTAAATTGTTATATTTATAATGTGCAAACCTAGAAGAGGTAGAGACAATTTTTCATAGGGATCAGAAATGTGAAGTGGCATTTTTTTTCTATGTTAGCTCTTATAATAAATAAATGATAAGCAGTCAATCAGTTATGAATAACATTAATAATAAAATTGCATTTGTTTAAACAAAGCTTTCTTCCATATTCGTACAAAGCAGGAAGGAATCCACAAGCCTGGGCTTCACCAACTGCTGGAAATCTGACTCTTGAAGACCATCAGGGCTCATCACAGCTAACCGCCGTAAAGCTGCCTACAAGAAAATGTGATAACACTTTTAAGATTTTAATTTTTAATTGGAATGAATCCTGATTTAGTCAATGCTATATACCAGAGGTCCCCAACCTATGGACTGCAGCCTACTACCGGGCCATGGCCTCTTGGCCACTGGGCCACGTGAGTGGCTGGCCACTGTGGGCATGCCTGTGCACGTGCTCAGGCCCCCTCAGCAGCAGCCCCATTTGTGGAGCACACATGCTCACAGCCCCATTCATGCGCATGTGCACACAGCCACATTTGCATGCATAAAGATGCCTGTCTTTCCCTTTCCCACTGGGCCACCAACCCAGAAGGTTGGGGATCCCTGCTATATACAATAAATCTAACTGGAAAAAGACTCATATTCTGAAATTCAGTGAAAGTTCCTTGTTCTGTTTACCTCCCAATGAAGGCTAAACTGGGTGCTATGCATATAGGTGGCTCCACCAGTTGGTTCCCTTGAATTAATTAGAAATGGGCAGCAATTGTTCAGGAGAATCCAGAAGGCAGGGGAGGAAGGACTTATTTCTGAGTTCCTCAGCTCTGCCCACACTGAATGCTGCCCTTCCCTAACAGCATCTGTTTGTTTGTTTGTTTTAAATGTCCATATGTAATTGCTAACACAAATGTTATTCTAATTAAAGAAATTGAAATGATTATCCTTTTTCACAAAAGAGAACTTTTCAAATCACTTGGGTCATAAATTGTAACTTTATTTGTAACTACTGGATTCATTTATATAGATCATATCTTGCTGAGACCCTGTCTTAATAGGGTTTGAGAGATAGGACTGATCAGGATGTTTTTGCTGTAGGCAAGGAAAAGATCCACAATTACCATAACTTCCAGGAACATCTTACTTCCACATTAGTAATGTTGCAGCATTTTCCAGTAACTGAGGCTAGCAGGCCCCTTAATTCAGTCAGGAAAGTCAAATGGTGGTGCAGTCAAGAGTATTAGGGGCACAGTGATTAGAAGGCAGTATTGCAAGCAAAATCTGCCCATAGCCTGGAGTTCGATCCTGATGGGCTCCAGGTTGACTCAGCCTTCCATCCTTCCAAGGTTGGTAAGGTGAGGGCCCAGATTGTTGGGGGCAATACGCTGATGTTGTAAACCACTCAGAGAGTAAAGCACTATGGAGCAGTACATAAGTCTAAGTGTTACTGCTATTGCTAAATAATACATTAAGGTTGGTCTTCCTGACACCCCTACATTTTCAGGTGAGGCAACTGTCAAATAGAAGAACCAGTTCTGACAGGCAGACATGCTGAAGTCTATTCATGATGGATTCCTATTTCATAATTTCTTTTCCTTTTTATCTACATCCTAAAAGGAAGCTAATAAAGGATAGATTTATATTGGAGCAGGCCAACATAATTCTCAGAATCTGCCTACTTTCCCTTCTGAACTAAAGTTATCACTGCACCTCCATTCTTTTTACTGTCAATATATTTAGGAACCCCATAGAGTAACTTCAGCCTATCGCCCACTTGGGATGCATTGATTATGTGTCAGTATTGTCTACAAGAATTCTTTACTTCAAACTCCTTGGTTTAATGATGGAATGGAAAATAACTTGTTCTCAGTAAACAAACAAGCAAACAAACTGAATCATTTTAACAAAGAAATATAATTTCAAAATTTAAACCATGTTGGGGAGACTTCCGGTGGCAGGCGACTTCGCTGGACGCAGCTGTTTGCTGCTCCCGCCTGTTTCTGCGTAAAAGCCGTTTTGACAGCCTGCATCAGCTGTCAAACGGCTTGATACCTTTCCCCTGGGCATAGGGGGATAGGTGAGCTGCCCGAGGTAGGAGTTGAGTTCCCGAGTCGTCCCTTGTGGACGATGTAGGTGAG